GGCGGGGCATAGAGAAACAATAATGTACAGTATGTGGAAAATAATGTGTTTTTTTAACCTTAAACCGCATAAACACATTTCATTACACCAAATACACAAAATAATGTTATTTTTAGCAACATCATATGACCCCTTTAAAGAATTGAATACTTTTATTCAGCAAGGACATATTCAATTGTAAATAATATTACAAAAACGTCTATTTCAAATAAAGTCTGTTCTTTTGAATGTTCTATTTATCAAATTTTCACGTTTTCCCATTAAAATCTGAAGCAGCACAACAGTTTTCTACATTGAAAATAGAAATGTTTGTTGAGCACTATATCAGTATATTAGAATGATTTCTGAAGGATAATGTGACGCTGAAGACTGGAGTAATGGCTTCTGAAAATTCATCTGTCATTAAAGAAATAAATTACATTTTAAAATATTTAAGTATCCAAGATGTATCCAAGGTAACATCAACTGCTCTGATTGGAGGATCTCTCTTTAAGACTCTGAGATGTGTTGTTCTTCACTAGAAATTTGGCATTTAAACTGGTCAAATCTCTTGAAAAGCTTGGGTAGGTCTGTCCCTGAAGTGCTTATACATTACTAAGGATTCTTGCTATATTCATGCATTTCTCTATGGAGAACATGAATAAGATTTTTACTTCTGAAAGCCAATTGTTACGCTCTGTTGTGTTGAAAATGCTTTTCTGAAGTCCACACTTTGCAAAGCCTCTAGTCACAATGCTCAAAGATGAATGAATCTGAATAAAGCATTTTGAGACATCTATTGAATTGCTGTCTGAAGTAATAATGCTTGTTTGTCCCTTCAAACAAATAGGATGTGTAATCTGAGCACAGTTGGAGCACTCCATGAGCTCTTCACCAGTGTCCTGGTTGCCTTCCCCACAGATCTCACATACAGCAGAGAGCGGCAGACCAGGCTATTGAGAGAACACAGAAAGACAAAGCGATATTAATCAATAAATGCAAACAAAGGAAGGCTGCATTTTAAGTAAAATGCACAATGTGAAGACACTCACAGCGAGACACTGGCGCAGCACACAGGTCTGTTTGAGTTTGCCAGGTCCACCGAATTTCTTCATGTCTCTGCAGAAGTTGCAGTCGCCACATTCTTTGCGCATACATGCCTCGCAGCGTTTACAGCGCACGCGGCGCCGTCGTAGGACCGACATATTAGAGGCTGGTTTCACTGGTCGAGGAATAACGGGTGTGGTTGCCAGCTTGGGACGAATAACAGGTGGAGGGGGAGGAGGGGGCTGGTACCAGGGGGGCTTGGGAGAGGGACAAAGAGAAATCAGATGCAAGTTGTGTGGTGGGTTTAGGAGAGAATACTCAAAAGCGCAAATTTCAGGGTTTGTTTTATCCATCATTATGTCACCTTTTGAAAGCAGTTAAGTTTAGCTTCATTTGTTTAATTCACATATTTAGACAGCCACAATTGTCAGTGCAGCAAAGAAAATGTTCGTCATATTTTGCTCACAATAAAATCAAAAGGAAGACAAAAAAGGGATATTTTGGTTGCACCATCAATGTATCCTAGAACAAAATAATTGTCCTGACAAACTAATTTTCATTACTTTATTTATTAAATTTTTTTTAAATCAGGAAAAAAAAAAACATTTTAAAAACAGATAATACCATGATATTTACAAATAAAAATTAGTTACAAATAACTAATTTGAATCAAATTCATTATGCCATGGTATAGCATGAAATTACAAACATTGATCACAAAAATGACAAATTACAAAAACTGAATGAAAAGAAAAACTCTAATATGATAGTTATTTACATGATTCACTTGATGCTTTTTCTGGAAAGAAAATAAAAAATAAATTATTTAAAGAAGCTAATACTGTGATCTTACCCTCTTTGGCCATCTGACAATAGGTTTTCCAGTGTAAGAGAGTTTAGGGATGTCATTGGCATGTTCTTTCAATAATTCCTGAAAGACAGAGAAAACAAAAACACTTTCAAAAAAAAAAAACCTTAAATTTCAAAACAACTGTGCCAACTAGATTCTTGAGCAACAAAACCTAATTAACCACTGACATCCTGCATCTCAAGTCACATTTCTTTAAGAAAAAAAAAACAAAAAAAAAATCAAATATCACACCAGCAAGTACATCAAAATAAAGCACAGCGAGCATGAGTTCTGACCCGTATGTCTTGTAGCAGGGCAGCAGCGTTGTGTATTCCTGAAGGCACACAATTCTTATGTGAGGGCAACGACTCCAGCTTCCCCACCAGGTGCCACAGCCCCTCCAGCTCAAAAGGAGTCAAGTGAAGCTTCACCCCTGGTGCATTAGGTGGAGAGGGAGCGTCGCTGTCATCTCTTTCCTCTTTAGCATGTCCATTCAGTACCTCGCAGCCTGAGCCTTCCCGCTTCAAGCCTGTATATTAGATTCAGAAAGAGAGAAGTAGAGTTAAAGGGGTCATATGATGCGATTTCAAGTTTTCCTTTTTGAAAAATAATGTGTTTTTTGAACATTAAAGCATGTCAACATATTCTGTTACACCAAATACACAAAATAATTATCTTTAAAAAAGCATCATATGACCCCTTTAAGCTTATCTGTGCTCAATACAATCAAATCTGTTAGGATGTGAGTGTGTTGTTAATGTACTGACCAATTCCCAGAGAGTATTTCTGGAACTCAGGGATGAGGTGGGAGGTGTTGGTTATGCTGTACAGATAACGCTCCAACACGTACCAGCACATCTCATAATAGAATGGATACCGGAACTTAGCTGGCACCTGAGGAACAACCAGAGACCATTATGACAACTTTTCCTACCAAATTCCCAATTGACCTGAGCTGCTCACTCTCTTACAATGACAGCTGTCAGTGTGAAAACCTTGTCCCACGATGTTTTTGAACAATTTTGGACACAGAAGGGCCACCATTCCAGTGTGAATTAAATATTTCATGGAGGAATATATACAATATTTTAAAATAAATATGGTGGGTAACGCGAAGCGTTTACAGATCACAATGCAAGCGGGAGAAGTCTCATATTACGGTCATCATGATCGCGGATGACATGCAGGATCAACGCTGTTCATGTATCGCAGGGTACGATTAAATTAATGTACATTTAACCAGTTTAATATAGAGAGGCACTGAAATGTTGACCTTCATTTATGTGTTTTTGACCTACACTGTACATGACGTGAGAACAGTCCACTATTTATATGTTAGCATGGATGCACTAACTTTAATGTTAGTTTTAGCCAGAGAAACCTTGCTGAAACGCAAGATGTCATGACGTTCTGCTTGAGCAGCTGAAAATTGTAACTTAATGAGAGTATGACAACCGGAAAATGAACGTTTTTGTCTTCATTGGGATTGGGATTGAATGCTTAGGGACATTTTGCTCTGTTTTGTTTGGGTTTAGGAAATGTAATAAAATAAATTATATTGCCTCAGTGTTACAAGTACCCCAGGCACATCGTTTTTCCATTTTTGTAGCATAAACACACTCAAA